CCTCCCTACCACCACCCCGTCTTGCAGTTTACCTACTGTATAAGTGTGCATACAAAGCTCTCACTTAAAATTCCAACTCCGTTCTAGGCAGCAGAAATAGAATTTGGTTAGGGAGCTGTAGTCTGTTTTTTAAAAAGCTGTTTTCTAAACTTGAAAAGTTGCAGTTTCAAGCCTAAAAGAAACCACTGCACAAGCAAACTACGGTTTTTCGAATGGAGATCAGGCATGTGGATTTAAAAGAGGATCATGTCTCTTTATAAGGAATTCTTACAAGTGTTTATTATTAATAACAACAACAACAACAACAACAATAAGCAATTTCAAAATTCGGTACTCAGTGGTAAACAAGGCTTTACCTAAAGTGGTTCTGACCTAACAGAGGTTCTAGGGACTATAAAGTAGTGCTTTTTCTATGAGAATATTTCCAATTTGGGAAGGGAAAAAGATGGCCAGAAGGGTTTAAGACTTGAACATGCTTGGTCCAGAAGTGGCTAGACTGGAAAGTTCTGTCTATCCCAACACTGGCTCAGCTGCGAGCCTTCCCTGTCCCCCAAAGACTGATTTTAACGGACTAATATGAGCGATAAGCTGTAAATGAAATGATATGATAAATTAATGCTTCAGATTAGGGGAAGAGGAGATGGGAATAATAAACCAAACAGGCTCTTTGGATGTTTAATGGAGACCAGAGTGGTTTCCTTATGAGATTTGTAATAGTGTTTTTCCAGGAATAGGTTTGCATATTATCAGCTGGCTGCCATTTTCTAATGTGAAAGCTTATGGGAAATGGCCACTTGAAGTGCACCAAAATAAAAATCCCAAGTGCTCTTGTAGGATTTCTCCCCCCCCCCCAAAATGAACAAATGCATTGGCCCCATATGGTTCACTTGGCAAACAGACGTCCCCTGATCCTAAATGTATTTAGACACTGAAATTCAACAGAGGTTGCTCCTGCTTAAAATGGGTTTAGGATCCGGATATCAACGAAGCAAAAAAAAAAAGAGCAACCTACCAACAGCCCTCTTCCTTCCTCTTCCACCAAAAGCTAGCAACGATTTAAATGTTCTTAACACAAACAGATGTTGGCTGCTCAAGCCGTGTTTGTTGCGCAAGAGCCTTGCAGAGCCAGCTTTGAGCAAGGAGTTCTGGAGTTGCAGCTACTTTGCTTATAGTTAACTATCCCCTTCCCTCCCCTTCCACTCAGACCATGCATTTGTGATTGCCCAGTGGTACAGCCATTTAAATGAGTGCAGCAGCCAGATGTGTGGTGACGTGTAGATCCATCCATTTGACTGTCACTTTGTTCGATGTACACCTTGCATTTGTGGGTGAAGGAAAGGGACTCTTTTCCCCCTCGTGTGCTTTCCTCCCTGCCGTGACCCTTCTTTGCTCTATATATTGTCTGTTAACTTGCTTGTGTTTCTTCTTCCTTCCTCTGTCAGGCTGCCTTTTGCATTCCTGTGACCAAGCCCACAAAGCGGCTTGTCATATAGCAAGTTGTGCAGCGTTTCAGTGCTGGCTTTTTGCTAGGAGGGCAAAATTGGCCTGATCTAAGAGGCAAGAATGTATGTACTTGAGAAGAAAAAAATGACGTTGTTGTAAAGCTGGTAACTTTCGTACAGAGGATGAGACACTCGGGGAAATCTTTCTCAAGCCCCGTTGAGGGAAAGACAGCAACACTGAATAGATCAGTGGTTTATATATATGTGTGTGTATAATTTCCCCCCAGAAGTGCCACTACTGCATTCACCTGAGTGGGACTTGAAAAAGTGCGAGCCCCATCTTTCTTACACTCTCTAATAAACTGTCTGGCTTCAACCACAAAAAGGCCACTTCTTCCTTTCCATTCTTCTTTTATGTTGAGACTATTACAAACTCGCAGTGAAAAAATAAGGCCTCTTTGAATTGTGCAGTATTCATGTGCCAAATTTGTGTAACGCCTTTTATATAATGCTTGTTAGCAAGCGACCTATCAGGAACATCCTAGCATTTCAGTAAAATCTATGAAGTATAAAAAATTTTCGTTGTTTTTAAACTAGGGTGGGGCCCTGAAAAGCATTTGAGAGAGAGGCAGAGAGAGAATTTGGTTATGGACGTGCAAAAGTCCCAGGCCAACACACAGCACTTTTGCAATCCTTGTGGTACAAAACAGATTTTTAATTCCCTGTCTCTGTGCATATAGTCTTAGAATAGTGTAACAAATCATGTGGACCACATACCAGCCTGTGGAGTTCATTGCATTTTAACGCCATTAAAGTCTTTGTTGTGCTCATTTCTTTCGCCTGCTGCGCTTTCTACTTTCCTGTTCTGATGTGATGCTCCTTAACTTTACAAACAAGCAAAAGCAAGAGAGAGGGACTTTCTCAACATATTTAATGGACTGTGTAAGGTAATGGGAGCACTTGGTGATTTAAAATATATATATATATATCTATATATATATATATATATATAAATTAATCTTTCGATTTTTCTCCCCTTTTATTTATATCGTTGGGAATCTTACTTTGTGAGTCAGTACTTCACATTTTGTTTCCACCTTATTTTACAGTTTTCCCTTGCTCCAGAAGCAAATGTTCATTTCCCTTCACAATAGTATTTTCGCTGAAGATACTTTAAACATTATTTTGATAGCGTCCAGTACCTTACGGTGCTTAACAGATTCAAATCAGCTTTTGACGAAGGGACAAGATTGGCACTAACTTACCACCCGAGCAAAGAGCACTGCTGAATTCACTGCACTACGGTCCTGTATAACTTGTGAAAAGTACTTCTCCACTGTGCTCTGTTCTGGAAGTCTCACGCAACCCAGGTTTCTGGAAGCCCTGATATCTCCATAGCATGTAGCTGTACACAGCTCACCACCTAAACCGGTTGCAAGTTGTTACAGCCTTACAGTAATGTGATGTTGACATCTCCATAGGAACCAGGAGTTTCTGGACTGCCCCATTGTTAGCTCCTCATTCGCAAATCCTTTTTGTCCTTAAGACAGGCCTGTTGGCTGCATATCGAAGCTTGTCAGCCATTTGATTTGGCTTTCTGTTTTCGCATCTAGGCCACAGTCCTCATTGTGTAGGCCTCTATATGCAACAAGCATGTACACACTGCCAGGGGGTTGGAAGTTTGACAAGCCCATCTTTGAGGAAACACTGGTTTCCATTTCACTTTTTAAGGCTCTGCAACAGTGTACAAAGGAGGCAGGCGATGTTTTGTGGAAGGTTGTAGGGGCACCATTGACCATAGTGTGCACATTGTTCTGTGAACCGCCCTGAGACCTCCAGGTATAGGGCAGTATATAAATTCTATTAATAATAATAATAATTCGGCTTGCAACCAGTAAGTTTTGCACCTACTGCAAACCTGTTTTGAGCAGAGATGAAAAAGAACAACTGTGTACATCACAAGCCTTGGCTGGGGAGGGTGGGGAATGAATAAATCAAGCAAGCAAGCAAGCATACTCTGTTGCACCATCTTCATCTCTGCTTAAAAACAATCTTCTACCTCCAGGCTGGTCCTGGTCAGTTCTTCCTTAGCAGAAGAAAGGCTGTTCAAAGATCACCCTCATACGAGAGAGGGAACCAGATCATGCAACCATGCCTTCATTGGTAGTGTTTGCTGTTTGTTCCTTGTTCAGATAGTCCCCTTCATAGAGTCAGTGAACACTCCATTAAAAGTAATAATTTGACATTGGCCAGATATCTGGTGCCATTTCCCCCACCGCCCCCTCCCCGCTGGTAAACACAAGGGAAAAGTTCATGGGAAAAGGAAGACTGTAGCAGTCACTGCAGCCTCAGCCTGTAGCAGTTGTGGTTTTCAGTCGCCTCTACTGACTTCTAGCTGTGACTGAGGTGAAGGAGCTGAGTGCTTGAGGATATCTTGTGCTCAGGTCAGTTTCCACTATGCTACCACAAGCCATACTAAACATGTCAGTGGGGCTGTACCAAAGGCTGATTCAGCCCATAGCAATGCAACTAAAAGACCAGCTTTGGCACACAGGCTGGCTGAAGACCGTGGTTGCTGCAGGATGATGACTGAAAGTTGTTGCTTGCCAGGTGATTCTAGATGGACACATAACATTCAGTATGGAGTGGAGGTCAAGAACCAAGGCAGCCAGTCATCCCAATTAAGAAACCTCAAGTAGTTGCCAGGTCTGAAGATAACAGAAACCTCACCTCGAGTTCATCCTAATAGGGAAAGCACTAGTAATCAACTACAGTCATACCTTGGCTCTCGAACGCCTTAGTACACGTACATTTTGGCTCCCGAACTCCGAAAACCCAGAAGTATCCCGGTTTTCGAATGTTATTTGGAAGCCAAACATCCGACACGGCTTCCACGGCTTCCGCTTGAGTGCAGGAACAGACTCCCGAAACGGATTAAGTTCGACAACCAAGGTACCACTGTTATAGACTTCAGTCATTTCCCCATTTTTCTATGAGCCAAGATTGGTCAGTTTGTCTAGCTTTTTCATTTTTAAATTTAGCACTGAAATATTTTACTTAAAACCCATTTTAATAGCATTAATCAGGACTGGTTTTTATTTATTTATTTAGGTTTTCTGTATCCATTTCTGTTACCGAAACTCTATAAAGATGGGGTAGAATGCAGTTATGATGATGCATCCCCTATATGAGACGGGGATGTTTTGAGATACAGGCTGCTTGATTATTACTAATTGGAAGTATTTCATTTATGTTGCCAGTTCCAAAAGCCAAATAAAAAGGGGTGGGGGAGAGAATCACCAAACTCAGAAGTGCCATTATAATGAATTCTGAATGTGATGTCAAGTTGCATCTGTAGCTGGGACAGAAAGAAACCAGTTAAGCATGGCAGATCTTCCACACTTAATTTCTAAAAAAAATGTTAACGAAACCTCGTTTTTAAATGTACTGTGTGAAAACATTTTCTTCAGAATGGAGTAGTGTGCTTATGTCTGTAGTGGGTGAGATTTCCTTCCCCTTCCCCTCAGTTTGATGAAATTCTACTAACTAATCGTTGTTACTCTACAGTTGTTTTTTTTATTAAAATAAATCACGGGTGGTTTGGTGGTGCTTCATAGCACAAGCTTAAAAGTCAACTACTGAAGAACCGTCCTAAAAGCTAAATGTCTGCATGATGTCACATCCGTTGTACCTGCTGAACAACTTTGTATGTAAACGAACAGGAATAAAAGACATTGCCCCATTAGAAAAAACAAACAAACCCCACGCTCGTCTGTTTTGCCAGTGGTATACACTATCAACCTCTCTGCTCAAGAGCTCCTTTAGGCAGAACCTGATTATTATTATTATTTTTAACTGAAATATTTAAATATACCTGTGTCTAGTGTCAAGGCAGCTTATAGGCATCCATAAAAGTGTGTTAAAACATTAAAAATAATGTCACACATTAAGACCTGCTCTCCATTGGATCCATCCCATCAGTTTTAAGTGTTGTAGCTCACTAACAGAGTACATGCAACCCTGATCCAGTCTCCAGCATTTCAGGGATATGTCTGGGAAAGGGATCTAGTCTAAGAACCCACAGCCAGGCACTGAACACAATACTGAGCTAGATTGGCCCCACAGCTTGAATTGGTCGTAAGGCAACTTCTCATGTTCCTATCAGAGCCACAAGGCACTGCCATCCCTGCGAAACGCCAACCTATTAAACTTTTCAAACCGGGAGAGCCTTAGTCTTCATGACTAGTATCTCATTAAGCTTTCCTCCTGCATCCATGCTCACACAGGAGAACTTCCCGTTTGGGCTGTGCACTTCTTGCATTGTCCATTTGTTTAAAGCAGCCTTCCCCCCCTCAACCTGCTGACCTCTGGCTGTAGCTGGGACTACAGTTCCCACCATCCTTGGCCACTGGCTATGATGGCAGCAGCTGGTGGAAGTTGTAGTCCAACTACAGGCCACTAGGTTGGAGGTACATTTGAAGCGTCTCTCCAAATACACGCTTCAGATTTACCTCTGTCAGGGGCCCTGACTTGGGCCCCGGGTTATGGGGGCCCAATGGCACCCGTGACGCGTCGTGACTTCATGACATCACGTGGCGGCGCAGCATCGCTTAACAAGGCCTTGCAGAGTCTCTCAGAGGTTATGTCCGAGGTCTTGTGAGGCCTCCAAAACGACTTCCAGTTTCTACCAGAAGTCGCATTCAGAGGCCTGGCAGGGCCTCTGACGTCCTCTGGGAGTGTTGGGGTTCCGACGTGACTTCCAGTAGAAGCTGGAACTCACAGGGACAAAGAATTATGAAGCGTTAAAATCGAGATGTGTAAAATATGGAAAAAACGAGGAAAAGCAGGACTAAGATGTGGAGATTTGCTTCAGATATCCAGACCGAAAAATTAATAATTATAATTTGGTCTTTTTTATTTTAGTTTTTTATTGTAATTGAAGTATTATGATTGGATATATTAATTGGATGTTTCTTATTGGAAAATCAATAAAAATGATTTAAAAAAAGAAAAAGAAACCAGAACTCGCGTATGAGGTGCTAAGGTGCATTGCATATGAGGTGCTAAGCACACCCACCCCCCAAAATTGTGGGTGTTCTGGCACCCAAGGCCTCCTACACCTCTGGTGCCTATGGACTTCATTTTATTAATGCCCAGATGCCGTAGTAGCTCCAATAGTTTATTCCCGTTGTTCTTGTGGGAAAGCAAGATTACCGCCCTCTCATTTAAAAACAAAACCAAACCCACAAAGAATAGGGAACTTGTTAACAGAATCACAGCAAGAAGCACTAAATGACTCCACTAGATTCATGCCAGCAGTACTTCCTCTTACAGATGCAACTCAATATATTTACTCCTTCCCTATTAAGACAGGGCTGTTTCTCGACTGCAACAAATGCAGATGAAGCAGCAAACCTGTTATAGGCCATACCATTTAAGACTGCAGGGGAGGCTCACATGATTGAACGTTCTCTCTACAATAAAATGCAGTACCTCCTTGCACAGAGGAAACTGGCAGTCAGCCCTTCTCCTTGCCATGTGGTTTTTGATAGGTAGGGATTTGTTTTTCTCAAGATAACTGGATTTCCTGAGTCCCCCATGGTTGAAGTGGTACTGCCCGGGAACAAGTTAGCCTCATAATACACTAGAAGCGAGAAGGAAGCCATAGTGGGAAGAACACAGATTGTGTTATCATGTGTGTAGTTCCCAGCACATCCAGTAGATGGCACCCTCAGCCAAACCTTACAGGTTCTAGGCCTGATACAAAAAGCAAATGAAGTTCACTCAGTGACAGAAAAAACGCATGTCATCCCATTCATTATTTTAAAAACAAACAAACAAAAAAACACAGAAACAAAAATGCAGGCACGCCACAATGATGCAAAGCTAAAACTTGTCTGGAAACAGTGTCATTTCCTCCTTGATTCGGTTTTCCACAAGTAGTGTGAAGCTGCTGTCTGTATTTTGAATATTATAGCTGACAAAAATCTGCTTTTTCGTCTTGCTGGCTGAAAGAAAAACAGATGCAAAGACTGAGCAAAAAAATGAAGGAGCTAATGTTGCAGCAGTAATGAAAAATACATTATTTTTTTGTTTAGTCGTTTAGTCGTGTCCGACTCTTTGTGACCCCATGGACCAGAGCAGTTCAAATCCCACAGGAGGGTCAGCAATTGATTAAGGGGAGGAGAGAAAATAACCTAATGGCATCTGAAGTAAGCTACCTGGCATCCTTCTGTCTCAAGAGGTGAGGTCAAACTGCTGTGTTAGCAACACCAAAGTGACTTCCCTGGGGTGCAAGCCAGGGTGGTGTATATGGAGGGCCTGCCCCTCTCTTGTCCTCACTGATGTGGTCCAAAGGAGAGAAGAACAATACATTTGGCACCAGCTTGGCTGCAAGAGTTGCTGGAAGGAGGCGTGCAAGGCGCCATCCAACCGTCTTAGGGACTCCACTCCCAATTTGTGTAGGGTTTACTCCTTAGCCTTTTCTTCTCCCAAAGATGTCTTGCAAGGCAGCAGAGGTTTAGGATCAAGAGTTTTCCTTCTCCTAGATGGCTACCTTCCCAGGTGGATCTGCCCCTCGCTTCCCTCTACAGCACGTGCAGAAACTGCCTTCTTGACCGTTGGACACAATATTGGTCTCATCCACTCAATTTGCAGGAGCCTGTCTTTGCATGTAGGGAAAGCCCCTAACTCGCCAGAGGTTTGAGATCCATCGGCTGCCCTCACCAGGTTTAGCTGGACAGTCAAAGCTATTTCCTGGGTGTATCCACTGTCGCATGCTGACAGCTTCTCAGAGCCACAGGTGAGAGCTGAGTGCAGGATAGAGACCAAAGGTGGGCAAACTACCCCAGAAGGAGTATGACGTGCCCCCCACCAGAGGTACTACCCCTCCCTTCCCCTAACACCCCATGCACCCCAAACTATCTGAATAACTCAGAATGAATATGATGTTTTAAAAAGAGCCTACACTGCCATAGGCTTATTTCTCTTCAAATGTACTACAGGAAGAGCAGGGAGCCGTTTTTCGCCTGAGGGCCACAATCCCTTCTGGGGGCCACATTCCCATGCCAAAAGTGGATGGTAAAGGTAAAGGGACCCCTGACCATTAGGTGCAGTCGTGGCCGACTCTGGGGTTGCGGCGCTCATCTCGCTTTATTGGCCGAGGGAGCCGGTGTACAGCTTCCGGGTCATGTGGCCAGCATGACTAAGCCGCTTCTGGCGAACCAGAGCAGCACACTGAAACACCGTTTACCTTCCCGCCGGAGCGGTTCCTATTGATCGACTTGCACTTTTGACGTGCTTTCAAACTGCTAGGTTGGCAGGAGCTGGGACCGAGCAACGGGGAGCTCACCCCGTGGCGGGGATTCGAACCACCGACCTTCAGATTGGCAAGTCCTAGGCTCTGTGGTTTAACCCACAGCGCCACCCGCATCCCTAAAGTGGATGGAGCAATGGCTATAAATGTTAAGCTTTGGACAGTAAAATCGTTTCGACACATACCCCTCTATATCCTCCATCTAGGCAAGCAAGAAGCATAACCAGAGTCCAAGGACCCATTCCAGCCAGACAAATATACTCAAGGCGGTTGAAAAGCAGAGCTGGTGAACGGTGAGACCTAGGCAGAGGGTGCATGCCTGGGAAGAGTCCCTAGGGAGGCCGGGGGGGGGCACATTTGACCTCCACGCCTGCAGCTCCCTGCTCATGTGTCAGGGGCAGGCCAGCAATAAATCACACTGAGTAAGTGAAGTTAACTCTTTATTCAAGGACGCAAGGTCTGCTCAGGAGTGCCAGGCCTAATAAGCACAGCAACTCTTCTTGGAAGGGCTTGCCCCTGTGTGGCAGTTGCAGAGATTAAAGGTCCCCCCGCCTTTCCACAGCTCCTACCCAGGTCCTTCCCAAGCAATCTGAGACTGTGCCTGCATGAAGCTAACCTCTCCACCTTCTTCATGCCTCTCCTGGTTCTGGTGGACCGGGGGCAGGGGGAGAGAGAGCGGAGCTAGAGGAGGGGGAGACACATGACTCTTCATCAGCCAGACTCATCTTTGCCTCTTGGCCTCCCTCCTGTCCTGCTTCTGCCTCTGCCTCTGATTCTGGACTTCTCTCTGCCTCAGACTCTCCCAGCTCACTAAGCCCTGTTACCTCTTCAGCTTCCAACACTTCCTCCTGCTCCCAGTCTTCTCCCTCTGACCCACCACCAATCTCCTGGCTCTAAACCTTTTTCCCCTGGCGGGTTCCCCAGCTGGTGCCTCCCACCAGTCCTCTGAATCCAGCCAGACCACGGCACCGTGCGGCAGGTTTAAAGGTGCACACAATTACATACCTAATTTTTGGGCTAGTGAATTGGAGGTGCTGTTGGAGGAGTCACCAAAGAGTAAGGTAGACGCTGGAATGGAGTCCTGGAAAGAAAGCAAAAAAGTGTGGTGAGTTTTTCTCCATCCTCCAGAAGTGACTCTCTTCTTATCTCATAAAGATACAAGAGAGAGAGCACAAGAGGGGCTTGGGTCATGGCAATTTAAAACAGATCACAGACACAAGTAGAGCCATCAGAGCCTGGCCTAGCAAAATGTTTCCATGCTTCTTAAATAGCTGGACAAGACAACTTTAAAAGTCTGTCCTATTACTGAGGTCCAGCCAGCAGAGAAACCAAGCCTGGTTTTGGAGGGAGGTATACAGAAGCATTTTACTCAGCACTATAATACATCCCTGGACGCGGGTGGCGCTATGGGTTAAACCACAGAGCCTAGGACTTGCAGATCAGAAGGTCGGCGGTTTGAATCCCCGCAACGGGGTGAGCTCCCATTGCTCGGTCCCAGCTCCTGCCAACCTAGCAGTTCGAAAGCACATCAAAGTGCAAGTAGATAAATAGGTACCACTCCGGCGGGAAGGTAAACGGCATTTCTGTGTGCTGCTCTGGTTCGTCAGAAGCGGCTTAGTCATGCCAGCTCCCTAGGCCAATAAAGCGAGATGAGCGCCGCAACCCCAGAGTCGGCCACAACTGGACCTAATGGCCAGGGGTCCCTTTACCTTATAATACATCCCTGGTCTTCAACCAGTGGCTTGCAGCTTGATCTAAGGCGTGTCGTAACAGGAGGACTACCACCATCCAAATATGTGCAAAAAATTAAGAAGCAGGGCCCCAGGTGCATGTTTAGGTTAAAGTTGGGTCCTGTGTCTGAAAAGGTTGAAGATACCTGCTATATATCATTAACCAGAATCCAACAGCAGTGCCACAATATTCCTTTTGGGCTGGAGTTATGTCACTTCTGTGCTACACCTGTCACACAAACCTGTTCAAGATTAGCCGGAGAAGGAATCATTCACTCCCTGGCTACGGAGTATTTTGCTTCGTATCCTACTTAAGGAAGCTCAGCAAGCAGAATTCAAAATAAGCAGAGCTCAAGAGGAACAGAAAAAGGCCTGTGGCTTCCAGATTAGCCAGAGAGAGAGAGAGAGAGATGCACTTGCTTGTAATAACTCTTGACCCTGTAATGTCAGAAGAGAAACTTGCGGAAGGACCACTCAAGCAAACTTCACCTGCAAACTAGCTAAAGGTGTCTGATTGGACCCAGGAAATGAATCAGCCTTCAAATACGGTGAAAGGGACAAGCCATTAGATATCTAAGAAAGGGAAGGGAGGCGATGCTGGTGCAAAGGCTCCTTGTTCTTTTTGCATTTCATATCCCTCTCACTTCCCCTACATCCTGCAGCTCCCACAAGTGTGCGTGTGTGTGTGTGTGTGTGTGTGTGCAGTGCTTTTTTCTGGGGGGACGCATACCCTTAAACATCTTGTGAATCTAAGTTTGGTCTCATTGAGGGACAGTGTTTCAATATGAGTAGGAAAATGAGAGTACCCCTAAACATTTTTTTTTAAAATTTTTGCAAAGAAGCACTGTGTTTGTGTGTGATGAAGTGGACCATGAACCAGGAAAACTTATACCTTAATAAATTTGCAAACACTCCATGCATTTACAGCACCTGCCTTTCCCCAAAGGATCCTGGGAACGCTATAGTTTGTTAACTGTGCTGCGCTCTCTTGTTTGTTAACAGTGCTAGGAATTTTCCTTCTGCAACGGTAAACTACAGCTCCCAGGATCCTTTGCGGGGCGTGGAAGAGTCACCTGCTTTAAATGTCTAATGTGTCAGCAGCTGCGCTTTCCCGATCTTAAAACACTCCCATTAACTGATCCTATTCGGAGAATAGGATGGTTGTGGACATCATCATCATCAAAGCCTCTGCATGCTTCTCCGGGGAGAGGGAGAAGAAGCCCGATTTGAGCCCGGGGAAGCTTTTCTCCGCGCACGTCCTCTCCAAATCGAGGTTCTCTTTCCGTTTCCAGCCTGCAAAGAGGGAGGCCAGTGGTACGACGGCGGGACGTGGGAACGAAGAAACGAACTAATATTTAATTGCATCAGCCATAGCAATAAAACAATGCGATATACAAAGAATAGAAATAAAAAGTCACATTATATAAAACACATTTTAGGGGTTGGAATCCATAGTCAAAGAGTGGATCTGATTCCGTTTGCCCCAGCTAAAAACCTTGCAACCTTTGCTGTCACCTGCTCATCTTGACCTGCCGAGAGAAAAAGGACAGGGTGGCAGTGGCTGGGCGACCCGGAATGGACAATAAAAGGGGGGGGGGTTAACCTCCATTCCTCAAGTCTTTTGTGCATGCGCCACCGATCCGCGACGGGGAGATGTGAAGTTGCAAGCAACGCATCCTCCCCGTCCCGTCCCCCCCCCCCGGTCTCCCCCCCTCCTCCAACCCCGGGGTTCAGAGCACCCGAGAGAGAGGACTCACGCGCGGGGTGCACATGGCCACGGCCAGGTTGCCGAGTTTGGGCTCTTCCCCGACCCAGAGGAAGAGCGAGTCCCGCAGGCGCATGGCGTGGAAGTGCACCAGCTGCTCCGACAGGCGCCCGCAGAAGTTGTGCACCGAGATCCGCTCGCCCGACGCGGCCACAGCCGAGACCGGCTCGGCGGCCTCTTCGCCCGGTTCCGGCAGCTCCTCCATTGCTGCAGTTCAGCCGCCGCCGCCGCCGCAGGCAGGCCAAAGCAAGCGATCCCCGAGCCCTTCCGGCAGGCTTTTCACTTTCAGTTTGTCAAAGGCGGCCAAGTTGGGCTCGACTCCCTTTATATATATGTGTGCCCGTTCAGACGGCGCTGAAGGGTAGCTGGTTTTAGGGAGGAGATCAAGTCAAACTTCCTTTTCTTTTGTCGCAAGGCCAGAATAATGGGGAGCTAAAAAGTATTCACTGTTTACAGGGCTGGATTTAGGTTTGATGAGGCCCTTAGCTACTGAAAGCCATGGGACCCTTTATATGCCCAGCTGTCCTTTGTCAACAACAAATTGTTGCTGGTTTTTGTGTTGAATATATGCTATATGGTAATTTATGGGCCTAATAGGTCCATACACAACACAAAACGCTGTATGTAGATTTTATTTTTATATCTTATATTTTGGAAATGTACATCCAGATTTTTTCCCTTTAAATTTTTTTGGTGGCCCCCAAGAGAGTGGGGCCCTAACCTATAGCTTGTTTAGCTTATATGTAAATCCAGCACTGACTGGTTACTATTATATCCTAATGGATTATTGCAGTGCTTTTTTAAAAAATAAAATAAAACTGTTCAGGGATACTCTAATTTTGACTCCAGAAAAATCACCATTTTATAGTTCAAAGTAGGGGAAATAAATACAGTACGTGCACAAAAGTACAAAGATTCATAAAATGTTTAGGGGTATGCGTACCCCTGTGTCCGTCTGTCCCGCCCAGAAAAAAGCACTGGATTATTGAATATTGCTTTATTTCAGGGGTGCACAACCGGATACCCTTCAGATGTTATTGGACTACATCTCCCATCATCCCTGATCACTGGCTATGCTGGCTGGGGCTGATGGGAGTTATAGTCCAGAAACATCTGGAGGGCTGCAGGTTGTTCATCCCTGCTTTATTTGATAAAAGTTGTTTATTTTAAAGTTATTGTGACTTGGGTCAGATGGGCGGGATACAAATAATAAAATTATTACTACTATTATTTCCAATGGGGTGCGGGGGGGTGAGGCTTGCAGCCATGTGAGGTCTCCAAAAACAAGGGAAGAAAGTGTGTTTGTGTCATAGGCTTTATGGACTTGCTAAAATTCAGATGCAAGCTTTGAGTTGCATATAACTCTCTTTCCAGGATATACCTGCTGAGCAGAAAATGAAGATGAGATCATAGATTTCCTAAGTGTCTGGACTAGATGCAAATCCAGTAGTTAAATGTTCACAGCAAGGTCTAAGCTGTGGTTCTGAGTGTGCTGGCTGTGGGGTGTGTGCACTGCATTATTTTATGCAATGAGATCATCTGAACATAACCCTGTATGGGAAGTTTTAAATGTCTGGTGTTTTGTTAAGTTTTTATATTCTGTTGGAAGCCGCCCAGAGTGGCTGGGGCAAACCAGTCAGATGGGCGGTGTATAAGTAATAAATTAACATCATTATCATCATCATCTCCAAAGGTGTTTTGCGGCAGAGTTCTAATTACACAAAAAGTACAGGTAGTCATGTTGGTCCAGTTAAAACAACAACCCAAAGCTGAATGCTTTTTATTAGACTAAGCCTAATGACCCATCTCATGAGCTGAAGGAAAAGTACTGGAGAACACAAAAGACTGCTCACAACTTTGTGACATTCTGGTTGGCCCTAATAGGGTATTACCCTATTGTGGTTTTTCAGTTTGTCCTAAGTCTGTTTTACTGAGAAGCTCAATGGCAGTTCAATGGGATTACTCCCTAGTAAGTGCAAAGCCCCTGTGTGCAAATACAGCCCTTTCCTATACATAGTTAGAATACACCTAAGCCTTGTTACACAATCCGCTTCATAGGTGTGAGCTGGAAGTGTGCACGGGATTTCAGATCTTACAAGGAAGTAAGTTGTTCTGGGTTCAGTGAGACTCACTTCCTGGAAAATTTGCATAGGATAACAGCTTTAATCTGGTAACTTGGCAGTAGCTTTTCACAAAGAATGGTCCCCCTCCCTTTTTTAAATTAGCTATCGCCCACCAAAGCAAAACTAGCAAAATATGGCTCACTTTTTAAGACTTCTTAGGTTATCCATGCTGTAGTTCAGACCACCTTGCAGCCTAACCTACCTCACAGGGTTGATGTGAGGATGAAATTGATTATATATATAATCTGTTTTGGACACGGGTGGCGCTGTGGGTTAAACCACAGAGCCTAGAACTTGCCGATCAGAAGGTCAGCAGTTCGAATCCCCGCGATGGGGTGAGCTCCCATTGCTTGGTCCCTGCTCCTGCCAACCTAGCAGTTCAAAAGCACATCAAAGTGCAAGCAGATAAATAGGTACCGTTCTGGTGGGAAGGTAAACGGTGTTTCCATGCGCTGCTCTGGTTCGCCAGGAGCGGCTTAGTCATGCTGGCCACATGACCCGGAAGCTGTATGCCGGCTCTCTCAGCCAATAAGATGAGTGCCGCAACCCCAGAGTCGGCCACGACTGGACCTAATGGTCAGGGGTCCCTTTACCTTTACCTTTTTATAATCTGTTTGCTTACGTGCCTACTGCTTTGCTTCCTTTCCTGAAAAAAAAACGGCAGGAGGAGAGATCTGCAACAAATCAATTGGTTCTGTGGAACATCTCAGAGTGTAAATGTCAGACAGACACCAGCGACCTAGAGGAGTGATGTCTCATCTGACCACTAGATGGAGGATATTTCTTATTCCTGTCTGGGGTCTCTTGTCTGTTATAAATATTAATGAGGCACCCAGGAGTTGCTGATTCAACTTTTTCTCTGTTCCTGTGTGCTGAATTTAAAGGGGAAACGTGTCTATTTAAAGATGTACCCTTGCTTGAAAGAACAATCCTGTAAAATTGGCACTACACAGACTTAACAGAAATAGGCAACAGTTATTTCTGCAATCTCGATCCTCCTTTTTCTAGTGGCTGTGGTTTTGAGATTTGCCATGATTCAGAAATTCACCTTGTTCACTGTGTCTTTTTCTTTTTAATTGCAGGGATGTGCCTTCGTGTACATTTGTGCAGAGAAAATAAACAGAGCTTGCATGTGTGAGATGTCCAGCAGAATGGGAGGGGAACAAGCTACTCTGCAGAACAGGGTGTAAACTCCTGAGTCGTGGGTGCTCTTCAAGCTGGCTGGTGGTCCAAACTAGAGGTCACCAGCCCTTTTCATGTCCAGGGGCACATTTGGAAGTCTAAGAAGTGGAAGCCAGTGTGGTGTAGTGGTTAAGAGCGGTGGACTCGTAATCTGGGGAACCGGGTTCGCGTCTCCGCTCCTCCACATGCAGCTGCTGGGTGACCTTGGGCCAGTCACACTTCTCTGAAGTCTCTCAGCCCCACTCACCTCACAGAGTGTTTGTTGTGGGGGAGGAAGGGAAAGGAGGATGTTAGCCGCTTTGAGACTCCTTCGGGTAGTGATAAAGCGGGATATCAAATCCAAACTCTTCTTCTTCTTCTAAGAAACTCAAGGACACCACAAAATACCTATTTCACAGAAGTAAAAAGCTGGGGAGACCCCCACCCCAAAAACACAAAAAACCAGGCAAAACATCAACACTCCCCCTAATAAATAAAGCTGACAAAAGGAAGCCCCTTCCGACAAAAAAAAAAACCTGTCACAGACCCAACCAAAAACAACAACAAAAGCAGGGAGAGCTCATTTTAAACAAAACTAAAAATTTGAAAGCACAAGGAGTCTCGAGGGACACGAGGAGAGTATTTGAGGGTTCCATTAGTGCCCACAGGCAGTGTTTTTCCCCCACACGGGGGTACTAAATGGTACTCAGTACCGGCACCCCTTTTTTCTAGAAGAAAAGCACTGCCCACAGGCACCAAGTTGGGGACCCAGCCACTAAACCAAAACAGCTGCGTGTTTTCCTCGCAGGGGAAAATGTTGAAAGCAATTTACATAGTTTAATAGCTACTGACTGAAAATTCCTGTTAAGCTGAGTTGGCTGGAGAACTCAGATTTGAGCATGAGATACTCAGAAGAGCATGGAGAAGGTCACTCTTCGGACTTTGGGGGAAGGGAGCAGAGCAATTTGAATGGAGGGATGCAAATTAGTAGCTGAAGTCCAGTGGGGGGGCGGAGTCCATTGTTTTTTGAGATTCTGCTGCTTTCTGTATGTAGGGTGCCTGTTTGCTCCCACTGTGCTCTGCTTGCACATGTTTAAATAAAGCAAAGACCCCATAAGTCCTCAGTGCTTTTTTCATCCTGGCTTGCTGGAACTTCACACCAAGTGGAAGTGGACTTCAATTCTAGAAAAGAAAGTTTGGGAGGCTATCCTTGCCACCCTTGTAGCAAACTAAGGCCCGGGGGCCGGATCCGGCCCAATCCGGCCCATGGATGATCCGGGAATCAGCGTGTTTTTACATGAGTAGAATGTGTCCTTTTATTTAAAATGCATCTCTGGGTTATTTGTGGGGCATAGGAATTCATTCATTCCCCCCCCCCAAAATATATATATATAGTCCAGACCCCACAAGGTCTGAGGGACAGAATAAGTTTGCTGACCCCTGGCTTAGCCCCACCAGTTCTTGCTGTTGTACTCTTGCCACATTTCTCGGTCTTGTGCATGAACAGATTTCTACAGAGAGGTCATTGTCTAAACCGAAAGAATCAGGAGGCTACACATGTTACAGCACTTGCGGTACCCACCCATCAACAGATGATGACTGTTGCCATCTTTGATGTACTGGTCACCTGTTTTGTGGTCAGGAGAGGGGAATGGGGGACTGCTTTGAATTCAGCACCTGTTCCTCCCTTCCTCCAACTGGCGATCAGTGCTGTTGTAAGGGGTACTAAGATAACGTATAGAAAGGAAATAAAGTGCTAATGGCGCTATCCTATCAGAGACAAGTCATGCTGAGTTCAGTAAGGCTTGCTCCCAGGTAAGTAGGTACAGTACAGGGTTTTTTATTTATTTTATTGAATTTATCTTCCGCCCTATACCCAGAGGTCTCAGGGCGGTTCACAGAAAAGATCATGATATATAAAATCAAAATAAGAACAATAACACAAACACAGAGAGAGAGAGAGTCACATTTTAAAAGGGTATAGGGTGTCCATCAGGTGAGCCAAAGAACTGGTTAAAAAGAAATGTTTTTGCTTGGCGCCTAAAGGTGTATAATGAAGGCACCAGGCGAGCTTCCCTGGGGAGAGCATTCCACAGATGGGGAGCCACTGCAGAGAAGGCACATTCTTGTGTTGCCACCCTCCGGACCTCTCAAGGAGTTGCAGCATATGTAATACAGTCATACCTCAGGTTGAAGTAGCTTCGGGATGAGTATTTTTGGGTTGCGCTCCGCCATAGCTGTCAACTTTCAGATTTGAAAATAAGGGATCAGCAGCCTCGAAAGTAAGGGATCAGCAGCCTCACCTGTTCCGGGGACAGTCTACGGGATATCTAACA